TGAGACAAGAAGAAATATGGAAAATACTGATGAGGATAAAGTGCATTTTAAGGAGGAGAGAGAAACTGAAGGAGTTTGAAGTGAATTCAGAAATAAATATCATTGTGAGAGGTTCAAAGGAAAAGGTGGGCTTGAGGTCTGAGAAGAATACATAAGCATCAAAAGAGCAGCTGGAAAACTTGAAAACTGAGCCCCAGAGTGAGACACGCCCACTGCTGAGGTATGTGAAAGATGCCAGGGCTCCACAGGGCTTCCTGTCTTTAAGTAACTAGATTTCAAGTCCATCGGGAAGAAAATCCCATGGTTTACTACTTTTTTAAAATGTTTTATTGTGAATTATGCGATAGTTTACATGGGAGAAAATTAGTTTCACATTCATCCTATTGTGTAGCGTTTCATTGCCATGGTTACAATCCCCTCCATGCATCATCAACCAACCAAAGGGTATACCCTACAAGCCTGCCCCCCCTCGCCCACCCGACCCCCCCAGCCCCCGGTCTGGGGGACTTTAGACACAGCCCCTCTCCCTCTCTGTGTCTAAAGTCCCCAGCTGCTCCATCTCTCCATGTCATCGTCTCTGCCTCCATCTTAGGCATCACTGCTTCTCTGGGTAGGGTCCCCCTCTCCACTTTTCTCCCTTGATGGTCCCAGGGACCTCTGCTCCTAGACTGAAAAGCCAATCACTCCCCTCCTTGCTACAAAACATCTACTTTTACATTTCCAGCCCTCACAATCAGTCCTGATAACAATTATTCACTATTGTATCACAAGAGACCTATCCTCATTTCATTTCATCAGCCCCGCCCAGACAGATTGGATACTACCCAGTGAAGATTCTACCTCCCTACATGCCCTCTGGATCTAGGTTCCCTCTTGAAAGCTTGTAAGCCAGTCACTTCTTGCCTTTGTAGCTCCCCCTCCCCCATTTTGTGTAGCCAATGTCCAAGTTGTCCATCCCTGTCTACACTGTGTATGGAGGGGGTGGGAATGATCCTTGCTGGAAAGATTTGTTCCCTCTTTTGAGCTACTGCATTCATAAGTGTAGATCAAGCTCATCAAATTGTATCAGATTACTCTTTTTTATTTTTTCTTTCTTCTTCTAGTTGAGCTCTGATCGTCCAGTCATTGAAGCCAGGTCAAGTGGGTATTATCTGCAAGTGTGGGTGTTCTTGTGTATATGCCCTCTCTTCTTATCAGCTGGACGCTTCACTCTCCACTCTAGTCCTCTGTGGCTACGTCCCTGACTTTGGGCCCAAGAGTCCCCAGGTCTCCACCTGGGTTCTCAGCAGTCTATTGAATGTTGTATGGCTTAGCTCACAGCTTCATTGCTGTTTTTCCCTCACTTCCCTTTATCGCTGACGAACGTGGTCACCAATCAGAGCGTGTATTCCCATTGAGTCTTAGTCTTGGAAGGGGGTCTGCACTGAGGGAATCGTGGTTTACTATTTACAGCGGTTAAAAGTTCCGTGCAAAGTATATTTGTAAAGCAGTGGTTACAAAAATTAAGTAATAATGCAAGAAGTAAATTACAGGGGTGGGGAACGTCCAGCCCACAGGCCTTGCACCTGGCCCTGCTAAGACAACTGCAGTTGTAGCCATCACATTGTTGTTGTTGTTTAGGGCTGTCAATTCGGTTCTGACTCACAGTGACCCTGCATAGGGTTTCCAAGGAGCAGCTGGTGAGCTGGAACCACCAAAGCACCAACTTTGTGGTTCGCAGTCCAGTGCTGATCCTACAGCACCACACCAGGAGTCTAGACATTACATTGTTATTGTTGTTTTTAAGTGCTTTCAAGTCGGTTCCAACTCATAGCAACCCTATATAGGGTTTCCAAGGAACTGCTGGTAAGCTTGAACTGTTGATCTTGAGGTTAAAATTGACCTTGCGGTCCAGCGCATTAACCCACAGGGCCACACCAGGACTCCAGCCATCACATTGTTGTTGTTGTTGTTGTTAAGTGCCTTCGAGTCGCTTCCGACCCATAGCGACCCTGTATAGGGTTTCCGAGGGTGTAAATCCTTACGGGAGTAGAAAGCCTCATCTTTCTCCCGCGGAGCGGCTGGTAGTTTCGAACCGCTGACCTTAAGGTTCGCAGCCCGATTCGTAACCACTACGCTACCAGAGCTCCTTACACATTAGGGTGAGTTAATTAAAGGTTTGACCAATTATAGAAGACTAATTTTTAAGTTGATAATTTAGTATGGTCCACGAATGATGGTATAAATTTTGACAGAAAAAGTTTCCCCACCCCTGAAATTGTTCATGGATATAGCAATTGTGAAAACTGTGTGTAAACAACTGACATTTGGAAATAGAAGCACATGGAACCTCCCACCTCACCTACGAGACCTGTTTCTGGGAAGAAGAAATATGGAAAATATTGGTGATGCTTCCGCCCTCTTCACAAAACAGCGCCAGATCTCAGCCTCTCAAGCAGACCCTCTGTGATCCAGGCTGCCTTTGTACAAAATGCCCACACTCCATCTTCCAAGAAGTCTTTCTCAAGGGGCTATAGTTCCCAGTCACGAATCTCTCTGTTTGGAACACCCACCCTCAGTAAAGTAAGCTTGACTATGCTCTCCTGTCAAACATTCTCTAGTTCTACCATCTTGAACTAGACAGAAGCTCTTTGCAGTGTGGAGTTACACCTGCCGTCTTCCTTGATCCAGGTACAGAGCTCAGGTAGGAGGAATCTAAACAGGAAGGGCGTGGGGACCAGATCATGTGGCATCTCTGAGGGGTTGGGGTGGGGAGTCATTAGGGCCAACTGTCTATTTACTTTCAAGTCACGTTAATGACCTGCTAAGAGCTTGACTGTTTTGCTGAGAGACCAAGTCAGTGGTACAAAGTTTATGTATCTAATAATCATTCATTTCTTCTGTGTGTCGAAAAGTGCCAACTTTTCTATATCAACCTGAGGCCTAACCCACTGTGTCACCAGGCTCTTTAATGCAAGTATGGATGATATAATTGCCACCTTGGGGAGACACCCAGAAAGGTACTTGGGTTCTAGATGCTCATGCTCCCCTTCCGTAAGGTGTAGTAAGAAAAATCAAAATCAATAGACTGATAAAGTATGTGTGTGTCGATGAGGTGGGGGGTCATCTAGTTGTCACCACTTAAACAAAAATAGAAAATTAAACTAATGGCAGAATAACATTCTCGAAAATACACAAGATAGGACTTCAGAATGCTAACAGCTTCACGGGGCTCCAGGAGTTGAAGGGACAGGCTGTTCCGTGCTGATGGTTCTTAAGCCAGTGTTTCAAACACCCAGCAAAGTTAATTTAGCATCTTAATCAAGCCTGTGCCACTCTTCACAGCCCTTAAAGCATGACCTCCCCAAGAATTCACTCTAAGTACTGTAGATCTATCTAGAAGGAAAAAAAAGGCCCTAGGTACCACAAATTGCACTTAGCAGCTACTCAACCATATTATTTCATCCCTGTCTAATGTAATTTTTCTCGCTTTCTATATAAAGGGCTTTAACTGTTTTTAAATTGTAGCCTCCTTTTTAAATGAACCTTACTTTTGTTTTTAACAATCAAATGAGCTAAGAATGAGATTGTACTTCTAGACAGCTCCTAAGTAACCAGAGGTAAAGATTTTCCCTCCAAAGTCATTATCTAAAGTGGCAAAGTGTTCCATAGGAGGTTCCAGGTGTGGGGTGTGAAGTGGGAAAGGAGACGGGAGAATGGGCTCCTGAAACTAGACCAAGTTGTTTGTTTACTGGGCAAGACTCATCTCCTACCTCTGCCTTCTTAGTCATTCATTCATTTATGCAACAAATAATTATGATGGAGGTTCGAAGAGATCAATGAACAAGTCAACAAGAGCCTCGCCCTGAGAGATTTCCACCCTTACTGTTGTTTACGTTTCCTCTCATGGGTTCTGACTCATAGCCGCCCTGTATAGGGTTTCCAAAGAGGGGCTGGTGGGTTTGAACCGCCAACCATTATGATTAGCAGCCCAGTGTTTATCCTACAGAGCTCCATCTGGACTCCAGTGGAAATTAAACAAGTAAGCTAGTGGATTCACTTGATTCATTCATTCTCTACACAATTATTATCTCATCTGTCAGTCATTAATGAGCCAGTGAGCAAGATCCTTGCCTTCAAGGACCAACACGAGAGTGGAAGTTAAACAAATACACAAAATCTCAGTGTGGGAAGTGCTAAGAAAAATACAACTAGACTTGGAGGAGGAACTCCGAAGCTGCAGGATCTACTAAGAAACAGGAATCACAGAGGCGTCTCGTGGAGGGTACATCTGAGTCAAGACCCCTCAATCTAAAGGCCAGTGCAATGCCTGCCCACTCACCGTTCTATGAATCCTTTCTATCCAACCAACAGCCCTCTTCTCCAGCTCCAGGGATGCAGTCCTCATTTGGACATCAGCCAGACTATCTGATGGTGGCTCTCTTGCAGGGGGACTTGGGCTAGTTGGGCTGTGGGTGAGTGGTTTGGTTGACCATGCCAACCACCACAGCAGTGAAGAACAAGCTACTATGGGCGCCATGAGGCTGAAGTGAACAACACGAGGATTGTGTGCACAAATGGGCTGACTGGACCCCGCCACCAACTTCCCAACAGAAGGCAAGGGCAGAGAAACCAGCCAGGCCATGCACAAGTTGGGCCAACCCCAACTCGGCCAGAGGTCAGCGCTCCCGGTGACGCCCGCGAGGGGGCGGGTCGGCCGCGTGCCGCGCTTGCGCAGCACAGGGCCCGCGGCGGCCGCCCGGGGCGCTCCCCCGGAACTGCGCCGGCGCTGTGCGCCTGGCGCTAAGGGGCGGACTTCATTGCGCCGCGCACTGGGCTGGGGCAAAACCCGGACGGGATAGGGCGTAGGGCAGCGCGCCGGGGACGTCCTGTCGTCCTTCCCTCGCGCCTGCGCAGTGCTAGCCGGCCGGGGTAGGCTAGGGGCGGGGCGGGGCCAGGTGTTCCCTCTCTGCCTCCTTGTCCCTTAGGGCCGCCGGGACTTCGGGCAGGTCGCCGGCACCATGAAGATCTGGACCTCTGAGCACGTCTTTGAGTGAGTTTGGGGGTGGGCAGGCAGGTGCGGCCAGAGTGCCCTCCGGAAACTTCTAGGCGTTGGGCCTAGTGGCGAGAGCCGAGCCTGGGTCCCACAAGGATCTGGGGGCGCGGAGCCGTCAAGGTCACGATCCCGGCGTGCTCGAGCCGGCCTGGCCCCCTAGCCCGGAGTCACGGGCGTCGCGGGGCACGTGGGCCTGACTGGGCCCCGGTTTCGGGAGAGGCCTCTAGTTGCGACTTCCGGCTCCCCAAAACCCGGTTGGGACGTGGACCCCGCGTCTTGTAGGCTGCCCGGCCATCCTTCCGGTGGCGCTCTTACCTGGAATGTGATTTTCAGGTCATCTCAGCTGCCCCGATCTCGTGGAACCGAAACCCTAAGTTTAGCAACCCCGAGTCTCCCGAGTTTTCGTTGGGAGATGGGGTGTAAATGGTGTCGCCAGGGCCCTGGCACCGACCGGGCCACGTTCGTGGAAATCATCACAAACAAGCAGCTGTATGATTTCCCCCCATAAAGACTGCCCTCCTCTGATCTGTCTGAGCCCTGACTTGAGATGTCCCTTGGCCATAAAACTGCCCTGACCTTCGCTGACCTGCCTGCTGTGGTCCGTTGGTCTTGCCATCAGTGCCACACCGTTTTAATGATTTTGTTTCAGTGTTATATTTTACTTGGATTTTAGCAAGTGTTTCTGAGGGCCTTGTTGAATGAAATGTTGGTGACTCTGACACATCTAAGAGCCCACTATATTCTGGTTACAGTAGATTATTTAGCTTGTATGGAACCTCTTTCCTCCCTAATGTTTTTGCAGTCTTTCAGGAGAGGGGGGACACTGGATTTTGTAGTCTTTTTTAAGTGTATTTATTCGCTACTCAATTTCAGCCCCTAGAACTGATGGTTTCCATCCTATTCTCGCTAGGAAGGCTCCCGAAGTTCTTGATACTTGTCTCCTTAGAATTGTCTTCTCCCTCATCTTCCCTAACCCTCTTCTGGTACCTTTCCCCATGTGCAGCTTGCCTCTTTATGCCTTTTTCTTAATCTTGTCCTTTTCCTTTAAGTGTAGCTGTCCAGTAAGAGTGGGCTGTTGGCCTTCCTGTTATATGTTTTATTGGTAATTCTTAATCCTTTTTCTGTTTTCTCTTTTTTACAGATCTGAGATTTGTTGACAGTTCAGGGACCCTCCTCCCAGAAGCTAGACATTCTCAAGTAAAACTGTCCATAAGCACTGATATGTGCTTCCTCCCCAGAGAGTCTGGGTGATTTGGCCCAGGTCCCAGGGACATACATCTGTGGCACCCACATCTAAACTCAGCTCTGGCCTCTCTTGAACGTCAGTCCTTATGTTCAGGTGTCGGCCAAGCCTATATACCCATACGTCTCCACGGGCACATCACATGCAGCAAAATTGAAGTGTCCATGTGTCCTCTTTCATCTTCCATTCTCCTGCATTTTTGTCTTCAGGAAGTTGGTCCCTAACTGGTTCCTCTGCATCATACCCATCTTTGAATTTCCAACACTTACAAGGAAGCCTTCCAACATGTAGTTGGCGCCCCATTGAGTCCTTCAAAGAACATGAGTTGCCTCACATGTTCCTGGCACTGTTTGGTGGACTGGTTGTTTTGGTAAACAAAGGCTGTCCTGACAGCCTTAGCATGGTGCATCTTGCTTTATGACTAAAGACACTGGGCCGGCCAGTAAGTCGCAGGCAGTTGTGCCCAGTGCACTTGGGAGGTGTGGCTGCCTTTCAGCGTGAGGTCTTTTTCACATAATGTCAGAGTTCGTCTTTAATAGTAATACAGTTAAAGTTAATTCCTGGAAGACTGTTACTCACACAATACGCATCTGTTGTTGTAGTTGAGTCAGTTAAGGTGTTTCATAAGAAGTCAGTCCAAAGTAAGGCAACGTTGATGTTTTCAGCTTGGCATGTAGGGTGGGTTGTTAAGTGCCATTGAGTTGGTTCCCACCCATAGTGACCTTGTATAGGGTTTCTGAGGAGCAGCTGGTTTGCTTGAACCCCCAACCTTGCAGTTCAAATCAACTTTGAAGTCCAGCACATTAACCCACAGCTCCACAGCAGGAGAGAGGGACTAAACTACTAATATTGCGACACCTCCCTGCACCTGTGTGATTATTGTTTTTTTTGAGGGGTGGGGAAGAAATGTGCGTGGAAGTCAGTAAACCATGGTATATGGCTGGGTGAAGACTGGGAAAAGGCTTACCCAATTTTCATTTCAGATAGTTGCCTTGGAAACCATGAGAGTTCTGGGTCCACGTTGCTCTGCTTTGTGAGGAATGGCTAAGTTGATGAAACAACTCCATGTATACGCCGGCATTATTGCAGAGTAAGGCTTGAGATTAAAAACAGACGAGGTTTGCTGCTAAACTACTGTAGGGAGCGAACATGCGATGTTAAAGATGCCGCCCTGGCTGCCCAGCGCTTGGGGAGATGTGGGTGTCAGTGTAAGTGCTCTGAAAAGTGGAAATCAAATAAGGGTTCCCTGTTGTACTGTTTGCAAAGTAAGCGATGTACTGTGATTCCTCAGTCAGTGTGGTTCCATGCCACCTCTCCAGACCTGGTGATCGTCCTGAACGTGAATTGAGGACGTGTGAGCACACAGGTTAGAAGCAGACTCAGGTGGACCGAGTCACCTCACCACTGGCTGTGGTTCACATGGGCTCAGTCATGAACGTTGTGCCCTATAGGAACATCTGTTCACAGAACTGTAGAGTGACTAAACCCTCCAGGTCCTTGACCTTTTTCAGGAAAATACACCACTGGCTGCAAGTGCTCAATGATGTCCTAGCATTTCCAGTTCACATTCACTTGATAAGTAAGCACACTGAGAGGGAAGGTTAGCTACTCATACCTTAGGAGCGCTCTGAAAATGTTAAGATGTCTTCTCGTTAAGTGCCATCAGGTTTTGACTCCTGGTGACTTTATAGGGTTTCTGAGGCTGTAAATATTTGTAGGATTAGAAAGCCTCACCTTTCTCCTGCAAAGTAGCTGGTGGTCTTAAACTACTGACCTTACAGTTCATAGTCCATTGCTTCTCCTACAGAGCCACCGAGCTCATTAAAGTGCCCTAAGGACATGTCATTTTTATTGAAGTGTGTCCTAAGAACACAGTATTTTTTTGAATGGCCTTTTTAAAAAAAACTCACTATCTTCTCATCTTTTTGGTGTTGGGAGAATTGTCTTCCAACAACTCTTTGACAGTTTTCTCTATGGGCTGTTTTGTTTTTGGTTGGTGGTGTCTTCCTGGTCTGGGTTTTATATCACCTGTATGCTAGTCCTCTTGATAGGTCCAACATAATAAGTGTTAGGATTTCTAAAGGTATTTTCTTCTTTTTGCCGATTATTCCGCTAACAGATGAATACTGAGAGATTTGTCTTCAGGCTCACTAATCCAGCCTTCCATTGATTCAGTTCTGCTACTTTGCCCTTTCATTGAATTATCCATTTCTGAAGGCTTAGTATTAATCTTCTGGCTTGCTAACTGCTGTTTTTGTATGGTTTCCAATTTTTTGACACATCTTTTAGTATTTTCCTGAATTCCTCTATATTTTTGCCTGTGTTTTCCTTGTTTACATCTGCAGCTTACTTGATCTTTCTCTCAGCCCACTAAAGGTACCTAAATATTGTTATGAATTCCTTATCAGTTAGTTCCAGTAATATTTCTGGTATTATATTTTCGGACTCTGTTTTGGTCACTGGTTTCTTCATGTGAGCTGAAATGGTCTGTTTTGTTCTGAGCCATTGTGCTCTTGTATTTATATTTAATTGATCGGTTGTGTGTTGGGATCTTCTCAGAACTGCATTGTGCTTGCTGCCATCCTGTGCCTCTCCGGGCCTGTAGGGACAGGCTGCTCCAGGCCAGCCGACCATCACCTCGTTTTCCTCTCTCTCACTGCTCCTGTTCAGCTTCCCCTTCTCGTCAGCACTCAGGTCACCTTGTCCTGTCCTCTGACGTTCAGGGCTCCAGGGTCAGCGTCCTAAGCTGTTGCTCTTTGTCTCCTGTGTCCTGGCTGCTGATGGTCTGCTCAGCACATCTGTGGGCTCTGCCATCGTGCCCTAGAAGTCTTGCTATGGTTTCCCACCCATAGCGACCCTGTATACAACGGAATGCACCACCCTCGCAATTGCTGCTGGGCTTGAGCCCACTGCTGTCTGCACTGTACCAGTCCTTCTTGTTGGTGGGCTCCCTCTTTTTCGCTGGCCCTCCACTTTACCAAGCATGATGTTCTTCTCCAGGGGCTGGTCCCTCCTAACAATATGTCTGAAGTATGAGAGACGAAGTCTGGCCATCTTGGCTTCTAAGAAGCGTTTGAGTTGTACATCTTCCAGCACCCATTTGTTAGTTCTAGCAATCCACAGAACCTGTAATACTCTCCTCCAGCACGAGAACTCAAATGCATCAGTTACAGGGTCTTCCTTAGTCACTGTCCAACTTTCACATGCATATGAGGCTATTGAAAATACCATGGCTTGGGTCAGGTGAACCTTAGTCCTCAAACTGACATCTTTGTTCTTAGACGTTTTGAAGAGGTCTTGTGCAGCAGATTTGGCTAATGTAATGCATCATTTGATTTCTTGACTGCTGTTTCCATGATTGTTAATCGTGGATCCAAGCAGAATAAAACCTTTGAGAATTTCAATTTTTTTCCATTTATCAGGATATTATTTACTGGTTCAGTAATGAGAATTTTAGTGTTCTTTACACTGAGATACAACCTATACTGATCAGCAGATATTTTAAGTTCTCTTCCCTTTCATCAACTAAGGTTGTATCATCTGCATATCACAGGTTATTAATGAGTCTTCCTCCAATCCTGATATTACATTGTTCTTCATATAATCTAGCTTCTTGGATTATTTGCTCATCATACAAACTGAATAGGTATGGTGAAATTATACAACCCTAGCGCCATTCTGTAAGGAGCTCTGGTAGCGTAGTGGTTACGAATCGGGCTGCGAACCTTAAGGCTAGCGGTTGGAAACTACCAGCCGCTCCGCGGGAGAAAGATGAGGCTTTCTACTCCCGTAAAGATTTACACCCTCGGAAACCCTGTACAGGGTCGCTATGGGTCGGACCCGACTCGATGGCACTTAACAACAACAACAACAGCGCCATTCTGTATTCCCGTGTCCAGTTTGAACGATTGCCTCTTGGTCTATGTACAGGTTCCTTCCTCATGAGCACAGTTAAGTGTCCTGGAATATTCATTCTTCACAATGTTGGGAAAGTCTTTGCATTATCAGTAAAGCACAGGTAAACATCTTTCTGGTATTTTCTGCTCCTAGCCAGGATCATCTGCTGTCAGCAATGATACCCCTCAGTCCATAGCCTCGTCTGAATCTAGCTTGAGCCGCGCTGGTAGTTCTCTGTCAGTCTACCTCTGCAGCTGGTTTTGTCCGATGATTCCCACATTCTGTTGGGTCACCTCTCTTTGAATGGGCACAAATACGGATCTCTTCCAATCAATCAGTTGGCCAGGTAGCTGTCTTCCAAATTTCTTGGCATAGATGGGTGCCCTCAGTACTACATCAGTTTGCTTAAAAGATTACAGTATGTATTACATCAGTTCCTGGAAACTTGTTCTTTGCCAGTGCCTTCAGTACACCTTGGATGGACTTCCTCCTTCAGTATCATTAGCTGTTGGTCATATGCTACCTCTTGAGATGGTTGAACATTGACCATTTCTTCTTGGTACAGTGACTATTTTCTTTCCATCTTCTTCTGATGCTTTCTGCATCATTTATTATTTTGCCCAAAGAATCCTTCAACATGGCAAGTCGAGGCTTGAATTTTTGCTTCAGTTCCCTCAGCTTGAGAAATGATGAGCATGTTCTTTCCTTTTGGGTATCTAACTCCAGAAGTCTTAGAGTATCACTGTAAGTACGTTTTAGGAATCAGTGATTACAGAAACAACTTACACATTCAAATGGATAATGGTCAACACGAAATAGTGTTTCAGAAACTACCATATCTAATGGAGTCCTGATGTGGCACTGTGGGCTACTGTGTCAGACAGCAGAGTTGTGTGAACTGCAAGGTCAGTGGTTCAAGCTCACCAGCTGCTCCTTAGAAACCCTATACAGGGTCGCTATGGGTCAGAATCCACTCAACAGCACTTAACAACAATAACTGTATGTAATGCTCAGTAGAGATTTATGATCTCAGAAACACAAGGAGCAGTCTGCCGTCTGCTGTAGGGTTGTTCTGAGTCAAAATCAACTTGATGGCAGTGGTTTTGGTGGGCATAGACATCAATTTTACTTTGTAACCGTGAGCTGCAGAAAAACAGGTGGAAAGTGTAGGCCAGTCCCCCAAACCGCAACTCTTCACTTGGCTGACGTTTCAGAAAGTAATTGTTGTAGGTAAACTACTTGGACTTCAATTGTAAAGATACTTTGATGGGTCATAAACATTGTCTAAGATGTGTGCATATTTATTTTTTAATGTTTGGCTTTTTGGTTTGTGCTGGCAGCCACCCCTGGGAGACGGTCACAACGGCTGCAATGCAGAAATACCCTAACCCGATGAACCCCAGCGTGGTGGGCGTGGATGTCCTACACAGACACGTGGACCCCTCCGGGAAATTGCACAGCCAGCGACTCCTCAGCACCGAGTGGGGCCTGCCCTCAGTTGTGAGATCTGTGAGTACTGCCATGAAGCCACACAGAGGGCTCAAAATCACGCTAGTGTCCGATGGGTTTGTGGGAGCATGGTCACAAGGTCAAGTCTGTATCCGGCCCAGTTGCATTACTGTAAACTTGAGTTCAGAATCTGCAACGTTGTTAACTGTCTTCATGAAGACACTGATAAAAGCTTCTCAAGGAAGCCAGCTAATGTGTAATCGGAAAGGAGCTACTTTTTCTGGCTTTTGTCAGCAATTTGAGACCAGTAATAAGATTTCGAGGTCATGTCTGGTCCTGAGTATTTGCTGACCACCCCCTTGGCCAGTGCTGGGCTGCACACATGAAGGAGAGTGTGTTTTCCGACCTTGCTGTTGCCATGTTCACTCCCTGGCCGGACTCGCCTCCCTGGGAAGCATAGTCCTTAGTGCATGGAGGCGCTCCAGTGAGCTGAATGCCAGCCAGCCGTAAAGTAGCCTGTCCGCTTGCCGTAGTATGGCAGAGACACTGGGTGGGATAATCCACTCAGAAAACAAGTGCACGTGTTGGAGCAGAAGTTCTCTCTGACTGCTTCCTTGGCAGGGACGCAGAACCACATGGGCTCAGATGGGCCTGGGTCCACGCGTCATGCCCTCAGTCACCACCGGGCCGTCTTTCTTTTTCAAGTACGCCACCCCGCACTCTAGTAGGCAGATACTGCCAGGTGCTCTTGGGCTTCCGTCTTTTTGAAAAGCCAGACTCCCCCCAAATCCCTGCTTCACATAGATCAGCTCACCCTGTGGCAGGGCCTGCGTCCAAAGGAGGCTACGTCCTCCTTGTCTCTGGGAAAGGGTTTTGTAGCCAGCAGTCTCCTCTCCTCCATGGGGTCTGAGTACTTCTCACATGGACCTCCTACCTATACGGACCTCCTACCTGTACGGTGTTTCCTCACAGTTTTTTATGAATCAGATTTTTGGTTCAAGACATAACATTTTCACAAAACGTCAACATGAACTATTAATACACTTAGTAGGAGTTCCTTCCTCCTCTGATTATGAATTCTAAATGTTTTGCTTGCCCAGCTTATTGGCACCACAAGAACCAGAACCTACGTGCAAGAACATTCTGTAGTTGATCCTGTAGAGAGAACAATGGAGCTGAAATCAACTAATGTAAGTATGGGCTCCTGTTTGAACTTTGAACTGCTTGTAATATTCTTTTGTCTCTATAGTTGGTTTCTAGGTGAATTGACGACATGCAAAAAAGTGAAGCACCATTCTTCCTACAGCTCTCTATCTGCTAGTGGTCACACAGCCCGCACTTTACTCAGAATGATGTTACAGGTTAGAATTCGGGGTCAGAGATGCTCAGGACACACCACTCCACCTTAAGCCTCAGCCTGCAGGCACTCAGCTTGAGCACCGAGGGTCAGCAAGGCTAGCTCCCCCTCTTAAGTGCCTGGAGGCCCCCACTCTGACTCTTGGTTCTGCTGCTGCCCCTCTGGTGTCACAGCTTTCTGTCCCAGGGTCACGGAGGCTCAGTGTGCAGGGATGGAGGGGTCCAAAGGACACGCTTCACTGCCAGCTCTTCTTCTTTGCTGGTAGTGGGATTCCCCTTCCTACTTCGGAGACGGCTCATTTTATAAACCGAGGCTAGAGTTTTAAGTTTTCACAATGACAGTGAACTCTGCTGACATCCACAGCTGACTCATAGAATCCTGTCAGTATTTTCTGCCATGTCTCTTACTGAGACCCAGCAGGGCAGAAACATTGTTTGGTGGGAAGTTACAGGGGATTGCACTCCGCCACAGCCTGTACGTACGGTTTATCGGCGCTTCCTGGCTGTGTTCTGCTTGTTTCAGCTGCCTCCCCTCCTGCTCCCATGCCCCCCGCTAGTTCTGTGGGACAAAACCCCAGTGAGGCCCACCCAGGCCGTAAGTGTAGTAATAGCACTACTGTACTTTCCTCAAAGTAAGCAGTGAAATTCAGATGGTTTCCTCTAGTAATATCAAAGTGGTTCCTTGTTCCGTTTTTGTCTTGTGTGTATATGTAGCTAGTAAGATTTTGGTTAGGGGGTTTGTATATGTAACTAGTAAGATTTTGGTTAGGGG